CCAACTACTCTCTCTCTCTTTTCTTTTTTAATAAATTTTAGCTTAGTTAATAAGAATTGGCTGTAAGCATGTATTTTGGGTAAGATCTAAGTTATAATTAGACCTGGGTATGTGGCTGATCCTTTGGGATTGGAAGAACCTTTTCTTTTATATGATGAGATAAGATTTTCAGTAATCATCATCATATCTGACCTGTGTGTCTGGATGGAGGCCTGAGGCTGGGTACTTTAAGGGAACTGCATTGTTTGAACTTCTAAGTAACCAGTGAGGTACTATAGAAGCTGTTTCATGCTGGCTTGGTAAATCTAGGTATTGGAATATCCACCAGCTTTTGGGGTTTGTCTGCCCCGTTCTGTTTGCAGTTCACCCTAATTGAGTGACCTCAGCTGGCTCCTATGGGCAGCACCATCACAGTGGGAAATTTAAAAAGTATTGTATTCCAGCCAAGGGAATGGAGAGTTTCTTTTCTCACCCCACCCCAACTACCTATGGGTGGACGTGGCTAACAAAAGGAATAGACAGGCCCAGTCCAGACTCTCTCCTAATAAGGAGTTCAAATGTTTAGATCTCCTGGGTAGGAAAAGCTACTCCTTGGCAGCTCTCCAACTTTGTGTGACAAATATGTTGGCAAAATATGATTTCAATTTATATTCCAAGTTCTCATTTTATTGAACATCTGCCATATGATGGCAGAGAACAATTTCAGGCTCTCATTTCAGAGAATCAGTTGATAGCCAGAACCTCCCTCCAAGCTGCTCTAGATACTCCAGATACAGCTTCTACATCCCTAACCATGGTCATGGTTATGTGGAGAGCATCTTGGCTCCAGTCTCCCAAGAGAAGTGCAGATTATGGTTGAAGACCTTCTCTTTGAAGGGCCCAGGCTTTTCAGCTCTGACACGGAGTCTTCCCTCCACACTCTGAAGGACTCGAGAGCTACCTTACAGTCACTGGGAGTTTACATTCCTACAACGAAGAGACAGTTTAGTAGGTCTCAAATATCACAACAGCCTAGGCCGTTCCAGTACAATGCTCAATAGGCTTTCCCAGATTTTGAGACTTTCAGAGGAAGAGATCAAGACCTCAGAAAAGGGGACCACCCCCTTCTACAGAAACATCTCCTCTATGAAACAGTTTTGACATCTTGGTCGAGGGCCTCAAGCAAGCTACCTTACTGAATCCTGTGCTGAATGATCACATCCATCCCCCCTTTGGAGATTGGCTATCCTACTTCCTACCTGCCTGGGCACAAATTACCTCAGGCAGATGGATTTTTGGAGGCGATCATCTTGGGATACTGCATCCGCTTCCACACTATTCCCCCCTCCAACCTCTCTTCCCTGTCCCTCTTCAGGGACTCCTCTCACAAAGATTTCTTGAAACAAAGAGGGTCAATTTTTTCTACTCTGGGGGAAATGGCTCAATTTCCTCCAAGAGTTTGTTGGAAGAGGGTCCTATTCCAGCTGTTACCTAATTCCCAAAGGAGGTGGAAGATGGAGACCAATCCTTGACCTAAGAAACCTGAACATCTACATCATTTCCCAGTGCTTCAGGACGGTGATGCTAGCCACTATAATCCCGTCCCTAGATCCAGGAGACTGTTTTGTTGACCCCAACCTCCAGGATGCCTATTTTTATGTAGCTATCCATCCATCCCACAGATGTTTTCTATGCTTCAAATTAGGCTCAGAACACTACCAGTACCAAGTTCTTCCTATGGCCCAGAGAAAAGCTTCTCACAGCAGTACAGCCCATCTGTCAGTGGGGTATAGCAGTATTCCCTTACCCGGACAATTGGCTTCTCAGAGGTTAATCATCTTAGAGGTTCAATCTGCAACCTCCAGGGCTCTAGCCATCAGAGCCACTCTGGACTCCCTAACTACCAGAGCCTATGTCCTCAAAGAGAGATTCTCCACTCTGTCCTGTCTAATTTGACAATACATTACAGCCCACAGACAACTGCAAGATCCTACCCACAACTTGTGAGCCACATTAGCCTCTACATTCATCATGCCTCATGTAAGACTGCTCCTCTGATGTCTTTAGATGTGGCTAAGATTGGTGTATACTCCAAATAAACCATCTCTCCAGATGCATTACAGTACCTCGAAGTTCAGGACTCTCTCAGGTGGTGGAAGGACCCATTGAAGGTCTGCTTAGGAATCCCATTCTCTTATCCCGCACCCTCAGAGTTCCTCACAACAGATGCTTCTCTTCTAGGATGGGGGACTCACCCAAAGGGCCACAGCCCAGGGTAAGTGGTCTGTACAAGAGGTCACACACTTCGTCAACATTCTGGAGCTGAGAAGTTTATGCTTGCCAACACTTCTTTTACACCATACAGGGCTACTCCATCAGGATAATGCTAGACAACAGGGCAGCTGTGTATTGTATCTACTGTCAGGGCAAAGCAGTCCTTTTACTCCTGGGGGAATTCTGCACCACTGGATAATGCAGAATTCCATGTTCTCCCGCAGAATTGGGGCTGCAGAGCTTCTGGCCGCCACTTGGGGCCACTGGACTCTGCAAAGCCTAGGTCACAGTGAGTGGTTCACCCAGCCCAGCGGGCACAGAGGCTGCATGTTTTGGCTGCCGGGCTTGAACCTCGTTCTCCTGGGGATGGGAGAGGGTGCAGTGAACCTAGCTCTGACAAAGGGTGAGGAAGGGCAAGGCCACACCTCATCCCCTTGCAGGACAGTAAAGAAGCTGGGGGGCAGTAAAGGCTTTGGGGGTGCAAGTGTGTGGGCTCTGGGAGGGAAGGGGTGTGTGGGCATCTGGGCTCTGGAGGTGCCTCGCAGTTGGGCTCTGGGGGAGGGGATGCAGTTGTCTGGGCTCTGGGGGTGCCCACAGCTGGGCTCTGGGGAAAAGTGTGTGTGTGTGTGTGTGTGTGTGTGTGTGTGTGTGTGTGTGTGTGTGCGTGTGTGTGTGAGGCTCCGTGGAGGGGGAGGGTA